CATTCTCCACCGCCGATCTCCCGCAGCCGCCCTCGTCCATTAATCGGCATCATGGCCTAGCGGCGACCGAGCTGGGAGGCACGTCGGCAGATCTGGAAAGTGGGAAGCCGTGGCGGCCGAGATCGATATGTGCGACGGCTGGTTGCGGAGTCGCCGCGATATCTTCAAAGCTCACCGGCAGGTGGATGACGCGGCCGACTCCGGGAGAGCCGGAATTTTTGGCAGCGACGAGCGGCAGATAAAGCAGAGATTTGGTGCTAGAGAGATGCAGCAGGTGGTAGGGGGCGGCAGGGGGCGGCGTCGAACGGCGTCGAATGGCAGTGGGTGGTGACGGCTTCTTTTCCGGTGGAAGGAAACTCAAACGACGGGGACAAATTGCACATTCTGTATTTCTATGAGAGAGAGAAAGTGAGGTTAATTATGGTGGAGGTGGTGGGGCCTACTAGGTGAATGAGTTGTAATATTTTGTGTATTGTCTGTTTTATCCTTACTAAGTGGATAAATATGTACATTTGACCACAATGTGTATGTTAACTTACCATGTCGCCATTAATGATTGACCAGATTTTGACTTAATCCTAACCATTAACATGATGTATCCAATGATCAGGATTTATTCTTATTTCTTTCATTAAGAACCATTCTCATTTGATCCTAACTCTCTATATATATATATATATATATATATATATAAAATTGAAATCAATTTGGCTAGTATTATTTCCCAATAAGGGCCAAAAAATAAATATCCGAAAATGAGCCGAAAATATTCTCGATAAATTGGGTCGATAAAATAACGCGATAACAAGGACTTACGATCGATACGATTAACCAAATGGCGATTGACAAAAATAAAATAGCGTGACTTATTAAATCAATTAGACGAGAACCTCCAATTAAAATAATATGACTAACCGAAAATATCGATTAATTACCGGAATAAAATAAAATACGATAATTAAATAATCCAGGAAAATACATAATTCAAACGGATTATAATCGGTTCCCGTGACTAAACCGAAATCGCCGAATGACGAATGTTTTTCAATAAAACAATCGAGTATTCCAACTTTTTATTTAAGTCGACTTCGCGACCAATAAAATAAATATAACCGTAAAAATAATATTCGATAAATAGAATATTTCGAGAAATTCTATAAATCGAACGGGGCGCTACACCATCCCTACTAGCAACTTAGATTCTAGAAGTGTTAATTCTTCTGTAGGGGGTAGTGGGCAGGGTAGAAGCGGGGGAGGTCAGTCATTCAGACCAAAACCCTTCGGTAGTGGGGTTGTAACGCCCCGTTTTATTTTAAAGAATTTACCGAATTTATTTATAAAAATCAGAGTTTATTTTTCGCAAAATCCCAATTAAAACTTTAACACTCAACGGGCGCTACTTAAACAACTAAAACAAATACACATTTACACGGACAAAATTTAACAGTTCAAAATGAAATTCCAATTATTCATAATCCTCAAACCAAGTCATGCATAATGAATTAATTCAACGGAAAATCCAAGGTCTAACCAACATGTCCAAAATAATTAAAGCGGAAGCATCATTATTCAAAGTTAAACAAATGATCTATCGAGATAATAAAAGCGGAAGCAAGTAACACACAATCCAACGACCACCACTCGATCGTCTCTCGCTGCCGCCGCCAACCATGCTCAACCTAAAAGGTTAGGAAGAGGAACAAGAGGACATAAAGGTAAATGGGGGTGAGTACAACCATCATACTCACCATTACCGCACAGTATATTTCGCATAAAGATTCATAACTATAATTAATGTATGCATAGAATCCAAATCTAACTCCCTATTAGGCCCTATCGCAAACCTCCTATGTACATACAACAAACCTTCCGACCAGACGTCAGCAAGAATGTAACTGGAAGCACTCCCACCCCGGATGCAACGGGCATAGGATATTATCCAGGAGACAGTGAAGTTGAAATACCCCTCCGCTCTACACGGATTCGGGTGTTCAGACAATCCCCTCCACTCTACACGGATTCGGGCGCCCACCTCCCGGATACAACGGGCATGTGACTTCCACTGATTATGCATTCGTCAAAGGCACTACCGTCAGGACACTTAGACCACGGTTCTCACGCATACAGAAGCCATCGCGACAAACATTTATACGAAATAACAAGTGCGATAAATGTAGATTCAACATAAATGAACCCACCTGGTTGCGACCGGAATAAACACGAAATAAGGTAGGCGGCGAGGTCGACTCGTCAAACACCTACATTTAGTAAAATAGCCTTATCAAAGACTATTCTATAATCACTAAATCTAATTAAGTTCACGAAGTCATTTAATACACGTTAAAACAAAGGAAAACACATTTTCAAAAATATCACATAAGTTTTGAAAAGTTGATCCGGCAGGATTTTTAAAAACGACATAACTCTCAGCATATAACTCTTATGAACAAGAATCAAGTTTCATTGGAATACTAAGACATGAAACTACAACTATTATGAAGACACTGAAAACAAATAAGGTCATTTAACAGGTGATAAATCAACAAACATTAAAATTTGAGTCACAGTCCAAAACTGGGAAAATGCACTTGACCTGCCCTCAGTAATTACTCTCTAACTGGAGCTACAGTCATTATTTTAATGAAATTCAAAAATCACATGATAGTCAACTCAATTTTCTACAACTTTACCGAAGGTCACTTTGGCAAACAATCACATTTTTAATGAGTTTAAACATAAAACATTTGGTTCAGCAAATCTGTCAAAAACTAACTTATGATATGGACAGCACTTCAGTTTTTACAACCTAGACCGAGCTACAGACCTCCAAATGACATGGTTCGAGTCTTAAATTAAACCTTAAGCATGTTTCTACACGTTTCATTTAGAACACAGAAGCATTTAAAATCATTATGATAGGGTACAATCAGTTCACATTCCATATCAGATGTCTGCCAAAGTATTAAGTCCCAACTCATGCGTGTCTAACTTCACACAAGCACAACTCAAGCTACAGAGCACGTATCGACATGAAATTTATCTCATTTGAAAGTTAAGAAACAGATCTCTAACTTTCATGAAGAGTATAAGTTCATACGAGCACATTACAATATGATAAATAGGTCACACATGAAATACAGATATGCTCCCGGGTAGCAGAAAAACTGAACGCACATAAATCTTGTAAAAATCATAACTTTATCGATATAGCTCGGAATCGAGAAATTCTAAATCCCAGATTTAGCAAACTGAATATACTACA